TCTAGTCCAGCATTGTGGAACAAGGGCCTACATGGTCTAGTCCAGCATTGTGGAACAAGGGCCTACATGGTCTTGTCAAGCTTTGTTGGACAAGGGCCTACATGATCTAGTCCAGCATTGTGGAACAAGGACCCACATGGTCTAGTCCAGCATTGTGGAACAAGGGCCTACATGGTCTTATCAAGCTTTGTGGAACAAGGGCCCACATGGTCTAGTCCAGCATTGTGGAACAAGGGCCTACATGGTCTAGTCCAGCTTTGTGGGACAAGGGCCTACATGGTCTTATCAAGCTTTGTGGAACAAGGGCCCACATGGTCTAGTCCAGCATTGTGGAACAAGGGCCTACATGATCTAGTCCAGCATTGTGGAACAAGGGCCTACATGATCTAGTCCAGCATTGCGGAACAAGGGCCTACATGATCTAGTCCAGCTTTGTGGAACAATGGCCTACATGATCTAGTCCAGCTTTGTGGAACAATGGCCTACATGGTCTAGTCCAGCATTGTGGAACAATGGCCTACATGGTCTAGTCCAGCATTGTGGAACAAGGGCCTACATGGTCTAGTCCAGCTTTGTAGACATTGACTGAAAAGTGCCATCTTCAATGTTATGACTCAATCATTCTTCAATGACAAACAGCACAACAGACTCAATAAATACTAGACAATCAAAATATACTTTATTACTGATAAAATTGTTATGATACATTTCAGTAATTAATGCAGGTAGGTAGAAGACAGAAACCTGATGTGACTAGATGTGTCTAGCATGGCTGCAGCTCCCAACACAGATGTTCACAGCCACGCCTCACAGCAAATGGAGAACTTGAGACCCAGAAACTCATTCTCAGAGGTCAGGTGAGACATTTCTCTTGATGAAAATATCAAAATCTCTTTTCACAATTTCTTAAAATTAACACTGAAAATGAGTTCTACAATGGTGAATTCATTTATATATCAAGGTGCAGTTTAAAGGCTTCTGTATAAAAAACAATACTAAATTCAGAAATTATTTCTGCTCCAAGCTGATGTCATAATTTGCCTTTCCTCTGATTAATATGCAAGGACCATTAACAGGTCCCCTTGTGTAAACAAAACCCTTTCTGTGAGACAGATGTATTGATTTTTATACCAGTGTAATAGCCTGTCTGTGTTAACAGCCTTCTGAGCATGTTGGCCAATACATGGTACTGAAATGTACACGATGACTACACACTGGGTTAGTGGTATTGTATACAGAAATGGTACTGATGTATACAGAAGTGGTATTGATGTATACAGAAGTAAAGGCAAGTGTGACTGATATATTGGATCTCCTGTACAAAGTTGAAAATCATGCATTCTCTCACACATCCAATGTACATTGTTTGATGCACTGCTACATTTGTACATTAAATACACACAGTTAAATACAGGTATGTACAATATGGACACACCCCTGCTGCTGGCTCCACTGATGCAGGGCCCACTCAGGGGAGAGTATTAAACACTAACACCTGCTACCTGACAATGAATCAAATGAAGACCAAGTCCACGCTTTCAAATCAGAAATAGTTCAGAAAAAAACAACTGATATATGAAACTTTCATTCCTAAGTTTTCTCCCTTGTGCTGTTATCATTACACTGAATGTGAGCTTGTTAACCTTCTCAGTAATCCCCCAAACAGTCTGTTCAACTACAGCCAAGCCTTGCTTGTGTGTTACTGTTACCTCAGTCAAAGTGTTCACTCTTCCTAGAAACTACAGGTAACACAGTCTAAACCTGCATCAACAAGATAGTGTGTGAGTAATTATATGCAGCTTGTAGCAATATTGCAGCCATATCATGCTTGGGATAGCAAGAATGAATGTCCAACATTTGTAACCTTGGTCAAACTATTTCATAACAAGTGAATGCTTTAACCCCAAGGTACTCTTGCCTTCTCTAAGGAAAGTGAACATTTAACCCCAAGGTACTCTTGCCTTCTCTAAGGAAATTGAACATTTTAACCCCAAGGTACTCTTGCCTTCTCTAAGGAAAGTGAACATTTTACCCCAAGGTATCCTTGCCTTCTCTAAGGAAAGTGAACATTTAACCCCAAGGTACCCTTGCTTTCTCTAAGGAAAGTGAACATTTAACCCCAAGGTATCCTTGCCTTCTTTAAGGAAAGTGAACATTTAACCCCAAGGTACTCTTGCCTTCTCTAAGGAAAGTGAACACTTTTACCCCAAGGTATCCTTGCCTTCTCTAAGGAAAGTGAACACTTGCACGCCTGCTTTCTTCTAGCTCTTTGTCAAAAGCATATTGAAGAAGAAAGCTGTTTTATGATCCACAATGTTTCCTAGCTACCATTGGTAAGAAGGTCCCCTGTGCCACGCAGCCCACATTGCTGGAAGAAGCATCACTGTACCCTTGAACTCACATGATATGCAACAGCCTGATACATACTTGGAGAGATTCTAATGATATGCATTTTACAAGACGATAGTTTCTGTAATTAGTTTCTGCCAGACCTTTTTTTCTCCATGTTTTACAGAAGATCCTACCATGATTTTATGGAAAAAAGAAAGAAATATGAACAACAAAATACTGTTCAATAAAAAAACAAATTCCTCATGCTTTATAGATCACTGACTTACAAAATATGTAAAATGAAGTATGTACAAGAAAGGGAATTGGCCTGGTTTATTGTCACACATTTCTTCATTTAATACTGAACTTAAGGATAGTTATGACAATTTACAAAAGCAATATCAAGTAAGCTTGTGAGTAATGTCAGGCATTGGAAAACTGGACATGTAACAATATGGAAACAAAATATGATCATGTTGAAAATATTTTTACAGAATTAATAATGGTATTCATAAACAATGTCTTAAACTGAAACTAACATCTGCTAAATTTAGTATCTACAATATATGTTTTGATAGAAACAAAAAAGAAAATTATATGAATATTTTTGACAAAACGCTATAATATCAGTGTCACAACAGGAGAATGAGCCTCATTTACAGTGATATAAAAATAACCTATGTTACACTCTGCAGATATATACAGGTAGTCCGCCTCACTGCTACAACAGTAAACAACAGATACAATGCTATCTAAAACATAACTTACAAACTTCTGCTGATAGAATTTGCAATCTCAATAAAATCAGATCAAATTCACGCTACCGCTAAACAAAGATCTGAGGGCATCCCATTACGGGTCATGTCAGACCGACCTTTTGCAAACTTTGACCAACCAATGGAATGACTGTTAAGAAGTTAACATTAGCCAATCAGAAGGCAGTTTTCTTATGAGTTACGGCACTAGTTTCAAATTGGCGACTACCCTTCTAAACATATTCTGACAAATTCTCGATTAAAAATTTGAAAACTGAACAAAAGAAAATTCTGGAATGGCTTATAGATGGCTTAGAGTGTATGGATTCAGTCGCAAAACTGTCATTCGGAATACCCCGTGTTAATTTTTTCGAGGTTGCATGATCAGAAAACACATTCCGACTGTCACCTTCCTGATCTGGTAAAGGACACTCTGATTGGTCGGATGAAAGGTTGTTCTGACGTGACCCGTAATGCAATGTCCTTTGTCTAGCAGTAGATTGAGAGAATTTGATAATAAATAGATTTTCTGTTGAATGGAATTTGCTAAACCTCATTTGCTTTAAAGAACCTTTTCTAGGTTGTGAAATCAATGTCAACCGATGTACAAAACTACCATTAATGTGCTACATGCTCCCTAGTGTTTTAAAGCTTTTCATTTCAACACAACATATGACAATATAAATTAAATTCCACATTCATACAAACATGTGTTCACGCAGGTTTTGGTGAAATCTACAAAGAATAAATGTCTATAGCACCAGTATTGATGAGCTGTGTCTGACCTGCCAATCAAACATGAAATATGTGTCATACTGAATCACAATCCTTTGTTCCAATGAATCAGTTTCACAATGGCACATTTATGATTTAAACAAAATTTCATGTAAGCTCATTCTTGTCAACAGATTTCTTCCAAGTTGTGATATAAACAAATGAAGACTACTATACTACCTTTAATATTCATAAAACACAACAATCATATGATCATCAACTGTGCTTGTGTTAGCTTGGAAGAATGTCAATATCACTTCATGACTTTGTTGGACAAGATATATTTCAACTGCACCTCATGACAGAGTTGCTTCCCTTTGACCAAGTATCTCACCAGCCATTCTTTGATTTGTAGGTGCATAGTATACAATTCTGCAACACTCAAAACATACTAGCATTGCAGTCAATAACAAAATAACAAAGCTATTAATCTGAGATGCAAATTTAAATATTGCACATAAATAGAACTGTTGTAAATCTAATTCAAAATAAACATTAACAGATCTCAAGATCCATATGGCTATGGTTATTTAATTTCGGATAGCTAGTTTAGCAGTTGTCACATACACAAGCATTCAAAGTGCCATGTATCAATGGCATTATGCATAGATGGTGAATCAAGGATTCAATTTGTATCGCATTCAATGTCCTAGAACTTTGACCAGTATCGTGTTCATCGTGCACTAGTTGACCCGTCTGTGTCCTCATCTGCACATGATACTCATGTCTACATACACAAACATTCAGGGAGATAGTAACAACACTTAGCATTAAGATCGTTTGGGTTTTCCTTACATCAATTTAAACAATGAAATTCCAAGCATTTTGTCAAATATGATGACTTTATCACAAAGTTTTCAAGGCGTGCATCCAGCCTTACTGAGGCTGAAAAAAGATAATAGTCTTGGTTCTCAGGCACCGCCTGCATCATCATAAAGCCTATTGCACATTTTGTTTTTATTTCCATTTTCCAAAAAATATAAAAATCCTAATACTTAAAAACAAGGCAATCTAATATAGCCCACAGTTACTTCCCTTCACATGTGCACTGCTTTACTGCGCATCTCGTGTTGTGGTCATGGTGGCAATAGCAGTTTGTATGCTTGTTTATGTAGGGAGGCCCTTTCCCAGGTTGATGGTACACAACTGTACATTTAGTTACATACTAGTTTGAACAAACAAGAAAAAAACAAAACACCACCGCCTGCACTGTATTTTCAAAAGTCATTGCCTGAGAACCAATTCTTTTATTTTTTTAAGCCTTAGATTGATCTACAAATGCTGAGCTCAAGAACTATGTGTCGGACTGGTTAATGTACTAACTAATTTCAGTCCAGTGCTTCCTTACACATATTTGCATGAAATGAAAGCCTTTATCTCCCAACACATTATTAACAATTAAGAGCAATTCCTCATTTAAGCATTTTCTGGCTGCAGAATAAAATCTTTCATTTTGGCTTCAACAGTAACCCTGCAGAACTGACTTTACTCCAGCCGCCCTGATTTCTACAGATCTTGTCCTTCATACATGGTGAAACAAAGCCTGATACATTTGTTTCTCTGCATTCTCTAGCAGTGGGGAAGACGTTCGTAGCTACACAAGGTGTCCCCGCATCTCATTACCGTTCTGCATTGCACGTGGGGAGGGAGACCTCATGGGTGGGCCGTCATAGTTGAGGTTGGCCACGATGTTTGGAGATAGCACATCAATGTTGCCTGTGAAAAGATTTGATATATCTTTTACTGGTGTTGACAACTAATTGTATTTAGTATTTCATTGCACTTCTGAAACCTGGCTGAGTCTGCCACATTACAACTGAAGGCTGAAGCAGCTAATCCTGTTGCAAACATGCACAGACTGAAGGATATAAATGGCTCAACAAACTTCTGACAATTCTTAATAAATTCATGCATTAAAATCCATTCTGACATGGAGACACCATTCTGCACAACTGTGAATCGTCTATGCTCGGTGATATGTAATGCAAGAGAAGATGAATGCTTATCTGCCAAGAGCTGTCCCTTGGGGCGAGCCACTAAAAGCATCAATATATATAAACCAGCTATTTATGCATACACGTGGAAAAAGGAATCTTGCCACAAATGAACATGAAGTTTGAGCTATACAGAAACACTTTTAAGTTACATTAACGATGATGAATATACAAAAGTGAGTGCCAACTAGTCATACCTAACCATTGCTTCATTAGTTGTATGAACTGTTTGCTACAAAACACGAACACAAGTGCAGCTCTAGCTAGGTTGTTATTTTCACTACAATATGCATCGACCAGGCATGAGACCAAGAAATATTGTTCAGAGATTTTTTTAAAATCCACATTCATATACATGATATCTCAATTACAGAATCTAAACTAAAATACTAGTTCTCCAGTTTCTATACAGGCTCATGTCTGATCAAGAAGCAGTGGAAGCATCAGAGAAGTTGTTGCAAGGTCAAGGTCAAGTAGTGATGTCAACCCTTGCCTGACCTGCAACTGATTAGTAAGTCATTGAGAAATAGCAGAGCTGTGAAAGTTTTAGAATATTTGATCAAGGTCACAGAATGACCTGAATTGATGTTTCAACCTGACCTCTACTCACATCATGCAATCAAATATGACTCTCTGCCTCGTGATAGTCTGAATCAACAATTGTAGTGAAACATGCATTGTCAATTATACATCATGCAGGGTGGTGAAACAATCTTAGCAATCTAAAGCAGCTGGGTGGAAGCGACATACATGAAGTTGTACTGAGACCATGACAGAATGTATTGTCTAGATCCTTATGGTCGGTTACAGTTCCTGCACACACCCCTTACATGCATTAATTAGGATGCAACATGCAACCATCTCCTACTATACATTACTGCTCTATAATAATACTTCATACAAAAAACACACATACAACTGAGTATTTTTAATTCTCCCTCAAATCTCTATCTCTCCAAAACTTGTTCTTCAATTTCCCTCAAATATTCAATGTGGACAAGGCCTCCCCATACATGAGAAACACTTAACTGAAAAGACATCTAAATGATGTAAATGAACAAAACAGCCATAAATTTTCTGAGATGTAAAACCTTTCAGAATTCTGATATTGTTTTCCATCATACTAGAAGCTGACTTGCACAGCTCCCGTTCTTACCCGGGGGTGAGGTGTAGCGTGGTGGCAAGTCCTGGGGACCATAGTTCCTGGCTGGCAGGGGAGGTAACTGATCAGCGGCTCCCCGGCTGGAGGTTCGGACGGGAGGGGGTGGTGGTGTTTTACCCGTTCTGCTGGGTGGACGGCTTGGTGGGCGATCACAATAATCTGTTATACTCTACCAACAAAGTACACCTTATGTTAGAAGTCTGGTCACAAGCTGTGAATGGTGATCTGTAAGCTCAGTAATAATTATAGTGGATCTATTAAACTGTCTCTTCGACACTCTAAAAATCCTCTAAAATCCCCCTTAATATTTACTTTTCACATTAGGGTTTCTACAAAGACCCCTCATGTATATCCTTAATTTCTAACTCTGTCAACGATTGTATTTTACACCAAAACAATAATTTTTCACTTTTATATTGTTTAAAGCATATAATACAATCCACAAGTCTCACTTTGGGTCTAGTTTCTTGTCTACTGCTGCGGCCGGATTTGTCAGGGCTATTTTCAAATGTTCCTTTCTTCCTGGGCAGAGCAACACGATAGGGATCTGTTGAAAGAAATTCTTGTTATCCATTCAGCATTATCACGTCTTCCAGCATTGTCTCATGCATGACACCGGATTTTTAGAAACCAAAATAATCTCTTCGGTTTTAATTACATCATTATGACTAATACTAATTTCACGGTTCTGTGAGGCAACAGTGACAGCAGAGTCTGTGATACTGATAGTTGTAACAATCCCACACACAAACACTGAACATTTCTGTCACTTTACATTCTCTGTCGTGAAACACCCCCACATGGACAACAAGTCATACACAGCTCTAAAGAGACACTCCATAGTGTGTTCAGATCCCGGCCTTGTTGCCCTGTGTGAGACTCTATATAGCTCTAAAGAGACGCTCCAAAGTGTGTTGAGGTCCTGTGTGGGACACTATATAGCTCTAAAGAGACGCTCCAAAGTGTGTTGAGGTCCTGTGTGGGACACTATATAGCTCTAAAGAGACACTCCACAGTGTGTTCAGATCCTGTGTGGGACACTATATAGCTCTAAAGAGACGCTCCAAAGTGTGTTCAGGTCATGTGTGGGACAATATATAGCTCTAATGAGACACTCCATAGTGTGTTCAGATCCCGGCCTTGTTGCCCTCTGTGAGACTCTATATAGCTCTAAAGAGACGCTCCACAGTGTGTTCAGGTCCTGTGTGGGACACTATATAGCTCTAAAGAGACGCTCCAAAGTGTGTTCAGGTCCTGTGTGGGACACTATATAGCTCTAATGAGACACTCCATAGTGTGTTCAGATCCCGGCCTTGTTGCCCTCTGTGAGACACTATATAGCTCTAAAGAGACGCTCCAAAGTGTGTTCAGGTCCTGTGTGGGACACTATATAGCTCTAAAGAGACGCTCCAAAGTGTGTTGAGGTCCTGTGTGGGACACTATATAGCTCTAAAGAGACACTCCAAAGTGTGTTCAGATCCTGTGTGAGACACTATATAGCTCTAAAGAGACGCTCCAAAGTGTGTTCAGGTCCAGGCCTTGTTGCCCTGTGTGAGACTCTATATAGCTCTAAAGAGACATTCCACTGTGTGTTCATATCCCAGCCTTGTTGCCCTGTGTGAGACACAATATAGCTGTAAAGAGACATTTCACAGTGTGTTCAGATCCCAGCCTTGTTGCCCTGTGTGAGACACTATATAGCTCTAAAGAGACATTTCACAGTGTGTTCAGGTCCTGTGTGGGACACTATATAGCTCTAATGAGACACTCCAAAGTGTGTTCAGATCCTGGCCTTGTTGCCCTGTGTGAGACTCTATATAGCTCTAAAGAGACGCTCCAAAGTGTGTTCAGGTCCTGTGTGAGACACTATATAGCTCTAAAGAGACGCTCCAAAGTGTGTTCAGATCCTGTGTGAGACACTATATAGCTCTAAAGAGACGCTCCAAAGTGTGTTCAGGTCCTGTGTGAGACACTATATAGCTCTAAAGAGACACTCCACAGTGTGTTCAGATCCTGTGTGAGACACTATATAGCTCTAAAGAGACGCTCCAAAGTGTGTTCAGGTCCTGTGTGGGACACTATATAGCTCTAAAGAGACACTCCACAGTGTGTTCAGATCCTGTGTGAGACACTATATAGCTCTAAAGAGACACTCCACAGTGTGTTCAGATCCTGTGTGAGACACTATATAGCTCTAAAGAGACACTCCAAAGTGTGTTCAGGTCCAGGCCTTGTTGCCCTGTGTGAGACTCTATATAGCTCTAAAGAGACATTCCACTGTGTGTTCATATCCCAGCCTTGTTGCCCTGTGTGAGACACAATATAGCTCTAAAGAGACATTTCACAGTGTGTTCAGATCCCAGCCTTGTTGCCCTGTGTGAGACACTATATGGCTCTAATGAGACACTCCACAGTGTGTTCAGATCCTGTGTGAGACACTATATAGCTCTAATGAGACACTCCACAGTGTGTTCAGATCCTGTGTGGGACACCATATAGCTCTAAAGAGACACTCCACAGTGAGTTCAGATCCCAGACTTGTTGCCCTGTGTGAGACACCATATAGCTCTAAAGAGACACTCCACAGTGAGTTCAGATCCCAGACTTGTTGCCCTGTGTGAGACACCATATAGCTCTAAAGAGACACTCCACAGTGAGTTCAGACCCCAGACTTGTTGCCCTGTGTGAGACACCATATAGCTCTAAAGAGACACTCCACAATATGTTCAGGTCCAGGCCTTATCGCCCTGTGTGTCTCATTGTTACAAGGATATTCAGTAACAGTTGGATTGAAGAGTGGTGTTCAAACCACCTTCTTCCCCTTGAAATGGAAAATTTTGATATATTGATGTCATTTTTTATCAGCACTGCAGTTGGAACACATTGCATCTACTGCACCACTTCAGCATAATACTGTGTTCTGCAACAACTTTCAACATGGGCAACATTACCGTTTTCATGATGTCAATAAAAGGAACTTTTGATCATCCTACTGACTTTGGTGTCACTCTGGGTGCATAGGAGTTCTTTGTGGCAGCTCTTATTAAAATCTCAAACACAAACGTGATCGATGTGACATCTGTGGCAACTGTAATCTTTTTTCTACTTCTACCAGAGCATGTCAATGATTAAGTGAGGATCTTGCAACTGTCAGATAAAACAATCTCATCATTTGTGTAAGACGACTGCCATGCTCAGATCAGGAAGATGGAGGGTGTCTAGAGGCACAACTAGATGGGGGTGCAACAAGGACTATGCGAGGGAATGCTCTGGGGAGTGATGAAAGAAAGGTGCTGAGCTTCAATTTTACCTTCTGTCCAAGGCGATTGCCTCCCTTGATCGTCCAGGATATATGTCTGTTTATGTCCCATTCGAGGGGAATCTAATTTGTTTGGGGTATATGGCCGACTTCCGTAGTCTGATTGGGGTAGAAAAACTCGTTTGCAGTCATCATTCTGAAATATTCAAAAACAGAAATATACATTTCAACTCTTTAAGGTAAATATTCTTTACAGGATAAACACTAATATCTGAAGCCGAATCCATAAGAGATCTGTAGAGTTACAACTATCCAAACATTTAACATAGACATTGAAATGATGTAGTGCTGTCATTCGTTTTTTGTTGTTTTTTAAATGCTTGAGTGTGTAATGCTCCAACCAAATCACAATGAAAAACTTACCAGACAAGCAAGTGATTGATATTATGAGCAACATCCTGAGTTTCAATAACACAGAATCAACAAAGTCACAGGTCCTGATTGGCTGATTCACTCCTTACCCCATGGACGAGAAACTGGAAACCTGTTCTTACCTGGATTACCCACATGGTTATACACCTTGGAACAGACCATTTCTACAGAAAATTACAAAGATCTAATAATACATACCACATTTGGTCAATATTCTCTCCTTATACCTGTGTTTCTTTACGTTAATTTTAAAAGTAACTAGCAAAGAAATACTTTCTGAATTCCGTGTTGATGTTTGCCATTTGTCGCTCATCTGAATAATCATTTACATGTTTCCTCACACGAAGAGTACACATTTAACCTATCACAGAGACAATTCAATGCATGCCACAACCCTGCTCCTTCTGCGTAGAGACTTGACATTCACCTCATAGTCTTTGCTGTAATCATCTGAGAAGTCATCCATGCTCTTGTCATAGGTGCCGTAGCTGCGGCCATCCTCTGAGGCAGACATGGGGTACACCCCTCCGTCCCCCTTGGTGTGTCCGTACAGCTCGAACGTGTTGGTGTGGCTCGTTGTGTCGCTGCCATCTACAACGTCAGGGTTAACAGGCTACAGTCCCATCATCTAAATACTTCAAGACCTTAATCTTCTCCCACATGGAAGCTGTCAATCACTTTTTTATCTCATACTATCTGGTATTTTTTCATAAGTTAAACAGACTTTTCCACATTGAGAGACTGATTATCTGTTTGTTGCAGGTTTGTTGAATAGGAACTCCTCTTATAACAAGAGTCATCAAGAGATGACATATTCCCCGGGTCTGGTGCTATTCAGAAATGAAGTCCGGCTACTCATACCCCATTTTTGGTTCATTGCCAATGGATACCTTTATTTCAGCGAAGAAAACAATAAATGCTGTTCTGTTCTTTTTCAATGTCCCAACGGTTTGGGAATTCTGCTCCAGAAACAAGTACTACCCTCATTTTTAGCAAAAGTCCAACTTGTCATGAAAAAAAAAAATAAACAAAAATAAAAACAAAGACCCAAAATCATCTAAAGGCACCAGTTTACCACCAGACTGTATAGCAAGTTTCATCAATAAATATTCAACGGTTTTGGAGTTCTGCTCCTAATACAAGCACTCGTCTCATTTTCAGTAAAGTCCAACTTACAGTCATGAAAACATAAAAAAAAGAGGAAAATTAAAATCCCAAATCAAAAGGCACCAGTTCACAACTAGACTGATATGTACAGAAAGTTTCAACAAGAAATATTCAACGGTTCCAGAAACAGAAAATGAACGGCTGATGGACGGACAGACATGCTGATCGCTATATCCTCCTGTTTTTCAAACTGGGGGGATACAAAATGAAAATAGCACCATGACACTGCTGCTCACCAGGCACGCTGAGAGTGAGGTGACAGTTACATATAGGACCGATACATTCAGCCATGCCTTATTCAGCCAAAAGGAAAGTGTTGCTATCACATGGCTGTTAAATGAGTTTATTCACCATACTAGTTTTAAAAACAACAAAACAATTGATGGCAAATCCGAGTTCTGACATGGCACTTGAAAGTTAATGTGTGTCAGATGGCTGACAGATGTATGATGGACAACATACAACAAGGTGGTCTGGAACTTGCGGCCTATATTTACATTCAGCTGCACCCTAGTTGTCCAGGTACTAGTTCGGGTGTTTGGGTAGGCTTGTGGTTGAAACATTGTCTCATCATGCCAAACACCTAGTTTCAATCCCTCACATTGGTGAATGTGTCCAGGCCGCACTAACTCTCCCTCATATCACTTTGACAGTTTTCAACCAAACATAACCCACAAATGGCCATTTAAGGCCACACATAGATTCCTTTAAATGTTGATTGGGGCTTCTTCTAAACTCGAACAGCAACACAATTCCATGATACGGTCAATTGATCCCTTTCATAAAATCCCAGCCCACTTGTTGTGGCCTTTGTTTGATGTTTACAAATCTAGCAAAGCAAAGCTATGGCCACAATACAGTGATACCATATTCAATACACTGAGCATTACGAAGGAGCACTTGCCATCAAAACTTGGTCAATGTCAATGTCGTAGCACCAATACTGTGCTGTGGAAAAGTTCATTTGTTCAGCTCATTGTGTTTAATCGTATTCAGCAGTTATTTTGTCTTAAATGTGGGATAACTCCCATATCAGAGAATGAAGTTTACCTTCAAGAGGCGTTGGTAGTGATAGTCACTTTTCATAGATTCTTGTATTTTTCTAATTCATGGAAGTGAGACCTACTGGCCAAGTAAAAACATAGCCAGCTTTTTATTAATCAATTTTTTGATTTAGGACTTTGGGTCCTGTCAGTCAAAGCCAAAAAAACGAAAAAGAAGAAGAAGAGTGTTGTTATGGAGAAAAAAAGGCACAATGCTATGTAGAACAAGCTGAAGACTGTGTGTACCAGTATCATGTTCTATACAGCCAGTCATCAATTAACTCGAGTAGTCACCATTATACATACTCTCCAGCCGCTTACGGCGCCTTCTCACGAAGAACAGAATTAATCCCACGTTGAGTGTGAGGAGGAAGATTCCCACAATACACACGACGAGGATGATGATTACGGGGACTTCGTCCGTCGGCAGTGTTGAGGTGATGTCTTCAGGGGGAGCTACATCTGATGAAATAAACATTGTGTAGTCAAATCCCGGGATAACAAAAAATGTATCCAAGCTACTCTTGCTACAATCTAACAACGATAACTACAATTTATGCACCTCTATAATATGGCATTTTTTAAGTTAGCACACATGCAAAATATCAACTATTCAAGAATATATTTTGGACTATTCAAAAAATCTACATTTTCATGCTTTTGTTTTATTCAAGTAAAATATTTGTACACAAGCATCATGTCAATATTCAGTTATGTCCTGCTGATTGCATGTGATTTTGGCACCAGTAACTGGCTTGTTCCATCCATCAAGATACTGCATCCACCTATTACAAACACCATCTACCGTATTTTCTTGAGTATAGTGCGCACCCATGTATAATGCGCACCCCCCTCTAGCGGGTTCAATATTTTGGAAAAAAAGAAATTTGAATATTATGCGCAGAAATTTTTTACACCGTACCCTTTCAGAGAAGTCCGGCAAACGAACGGGTGCTGAGAAACTTCGTCAGTACAAATTCGAAATTTGAGATAAAAAATCACCAGACATGTTTATTTACCGTTTAAATAGTATTTATTGTTCTGCTAGGCATTGTTTTATATCTAGGGATTAAGATTACCTTGCGTATTTTCTCGTAAACTAAGCTGGAAACAGCAATCAGCTGTACAAACATTTTCTTGGAATCGACCGGTGATTCGGTCAAGACACACCCAATGATATAACTTTATAAGATTTTTAATGCAAGGATCGGCAACAATTGTATCTGAAACTATTTTATTTATCAGGAATAATATATTCCATTATTTTCTTAATTATATGCAACCTTTACTAAACATATTTAAAATAATAATAACCCTAAACGAAGCAGCTGATCGCTATTCCCGGGTATTATTTTTTACATGGAACATGTCTGACCAGTCACCGTCAAGGCTCACGCGCACGTGATCACGTGATCGCGAGAATTTCATGTTGACATAGAATCGTCAAACAAAAACAAATATGACTTTTAACGAGGCAAAGTATGTCATTTATGATATATGTATCCATTCTCTGTCAACTAAAGTTTGTTTCAAGGCGTCAATAGCGGTATTCTGACCGTGGTTGCTGCTAATAACGGTGAGTTGTGTGATCTTCCGATCGCTTCACACACGATTTCGCCGAAATTAATAAAAACAATATTATAAGGAATTTTGAATAAAATCGATGAAATAAGTTACAAACATAAGTCCAGATATAAAAAGAACATTTTTTATAGCCAGACAGTGTAATTACATAAGTATTTTGCGTACTTCAGTATGGATTTGTTGACATGGTGTTTCGTGCTCACGGTAATGTCTTTCCATGGGGGGAAAAAACATCCAAACTCATAATTCGTGTATAATGCGCACCCCCTTCTACACAGCTGTGTTTTTTCGAAAAAAAGTGCGCACTATACTCAAGAAAATACGGTACATGCTCAGATACGGATGCTGCAGCAGAAGATTCAGTCTCAAAAACTTCTAAAAAACAAAACTTTTCTCCCTGCAAACCAAGTTGTAACATACATTGAATAAACCCTGGCTTCATTTGCCTCACATATATACAATACTAGCAAAGTTATACATGATTTTCTCCTTCCTCAAAGAAATTGCACAGTTATGTTGGTTTTTTTTGTGTGATGTGAATGGAATTTAGTGCCCGATGTAAGGTCCATCACTTGGCAGGTCATGTACGGTCCCTGAGAACCATCGGATGTGGACAGTCATCTGCTGCTACTTGCAGTCATCTTTCACAACCCCCGTGTGACATGTCAATTCTTATGCAGTGTACATGGAAAGTGACAGCACTTTTTATCAAGAGGTAGCCAGTTCACATGCCACATGTTAATTACACTAATGAGCCTCCCTTGTGAATCCCCTCTCCATTATCGAGGATCAAACTGACTTCCAATTTCCTCTCTTAACCCTCTTAATCCCAACAATGACAGATTCAAGATTCCTTCAAACTTTATATACTTTTGATATACCTTAATACAGGATGCAAAAATTGAAAAGTTACATCTTTTCTCTACTTCAAGCAACTGCAACACTTAAAGAAAACATTTTTTTGCCATCTTCAAATAAGATGGTTTCAATCTGTTAAAGTTTGTGTCTGTGCGGCAAGCTCCACGGGGCACAAGTCTGTCACACTTGTCCAACTAATCAATCTCACACAAACACAGCCAACACATAACACCTTCAGAAAACTACAATCTCCTCACAGAAGCACAATTACAGGTCTATGACATATTGATTAAATGTCAGACGCCAATTTCAAACTGTTTCATCCTGCTTGACCTCAAAACTTGAAAAAAAATATTTTCCTCTGTGAATTGGGTTTCTGCGGGATGTGTGACACTTGGCTGTCACAGATATTCTGATTTGATAGGGCTTGGTTCTAACGAGTTTCGTGATGGACATACAACCATGTTCTACATGTCACCATAACACACAACCATGTTCTACATGTCACTGTAACACAGCCATGCTCTACATGTCACTGTAACACAGCCATGTTCTACAATTCACTGTAACACAGCCATGTTCTATATCTCACTGTAACACAGCCATGTTCTACATGTGACTGTAACACAGCCATGTTCTACATGTGACTGTAACACAGCCATGTTCTACATGTGACTGTAACACAGCCATGTTCTACATGTGACTGTAACACAGCCATGTTCTACATGTGACTGTAATACAGCCATGTTCTACATGTGACTGTAACACAGCCATGTTCTACATGTGACTGTAACACAACCATGTTCTACATCTCACTGTAAGGCAGCCATGTTCTACATGAATGTGCAAAACACAAGGTAATTTGAGCCCTTTCTCATTCATATTATGTAAAGAAATTTGCTTGTTATATAAAAAAATGACTGACCACATCATTTATACATAAAACTGCTGCTGCACACAGCAGCAAGACTCCTTACTTACTTGATGTTTTTGCTGTGATAAACTGTTCCTGGAATTCACTTTTCCCTTTACTGTTGAATGCTAGTACTGTTATTTCATATTCACTACCGAGCTTTAAACCTGGTGAAAAACAACAACATAATTGTTTCATACAGAACATTTATATTTAGATTACTGGCACCGGCAACCCCATTCCCTGAAACGGAGCAGTTACTACTGACACTTTGTGTGTTACAAGCCATTAATATCACTTTCACACAGACATTCTGCTGGACTCCTAGACTTGCTCATCACTAAACACATTTCATATGGATAAACTTGTGAGAATCTTAGAGAAAAGGACAACAAATATTTAGTAGATGTCTTAACAGGAATATTTATTGTTCATGTAGTCAAGCATGATGATGAAATAGTATGTTGCAATTTACCTTTAATTATAAAGGTGGTGGTGGCAGGGATGGTGATATCAATGTACACAAACCCCCTCTCTCCTTTCAAGCGATATCTCACTTGGAAGTTTTGGATAAGTCCACCATTGAACCCTGGCTTCCATGAGATGGTGATAGTGTTGTGTGTAGCGTTGACGAACTGGATGTCATATGGTGGATCAGGTTTACCTGAAACAAGTCCCAACACAGGGAGTCAAACACTAGGAGTCAAACATAGGCAGCATCGGTGATGAAGAACAGTGACTGTGACCGGTGAAATGGAGCCTACCAGCTCCATACAACCAGTCAGGTCCCCATGCTGTCTCATTAGGGGCCAGGAAGGTTCAAGCGACTGAGTTACCTACACAGATCACAAGTTTCTCATATCAGATGCCCAAATAAAACATGACATAAACTCTACTGGTTGATCATGAAATCAGCTCAATTGAAAACACTCAACTGTATTAATTGGCAATTTGATTGACAAGTTGGTTTCTTACTTCCCACCTTAAACCCCATGAAGATTATATAGATTGACACTTTCAAGTGACTGGTCTGCTTTTCAAAATATTCAAACTAACGATGTGGCATAGGTTAAAGAAAACCAAAGCAAAAGTTAGAATGTGAAGAAAAACACACAAATTGGATCAACTAAGACAATTTAGTACAGATAAAATGCATGGACAATAAGTAGAGTAGTTGTAGTAGTAGTAGTCTAGAGTAGTCTTTGCTTGACATTTAGAAGTCAGTAGTAGTACATGAAGACATACGTACATTCAGTCATTTCCTGACACAAGAAATGTGCACCGGAAATGTTGTCAGAAGAGAGTTGCTATTGCTAAAGAGTCTCATGTCTTTATATTCCAGAGTAATTTCAACTGTTCTCCTCATTCATGACACCTTTTAATAATTTTATATCCTACTGTTCAATCATTTAAAAATAAATTCAATCGTTACAAATAGTTCTAAAATCAAGTGCCTCAGCACTGTAGCCCACCTTGATATTTAGTCAACATGTCAACAGAGACAACCACCAAACAGAAGTTGCTGTCAGTATTGATATTCACATACTTTCTGCATGAACAATGAGGGAAAACCTGATACTAATTAACACCTGCTGATTTGAACTACAAATGTTATCATAAGGAAAACCATATGTGCCAAAGTTCAGGAGACAAGAATGTTCACAAGTTAGCCATATTTACAGAGCCCAAATGCATTTTGAGAGAATTAAGAACAACATCAAAAGAAGATGATCATTCTCTAGTTTTGTATTCAAATTGCAGAACATATGTGTTGAATCCCACAAAAAACTAAACTACCAAATAGATTTATAAATTAATAGATAGAATTAATAGATGATTTCTCAATATACCTGTCACACTGAAAACCTTAATCAAACCTCTTAGTGGGTAACAAGTATGTGATGTTTCAGCTTCATTGGTCCAGTAGTTTCTGAGAAGATGGTGGTTTCAGTGCATTTTGAGAGAATTCATGAGTATAACCAGTGCAAAGGTCAAATCAAGATAAAATTAAAATAAAAAATACCCAAAACATATATATCCTGAGCCCCACTAACTACATATACACCAAATTCCATGACATTTTGAACAAAACTGAGTAATGGCAATAAATAGCTTCTTCAACAAGGCTTCCCTGGTGGCCATATTGAAACTTGGACTCAAACCTCTTGAACAAATTGGGGTGTCATCATTTGTGGGAACAAGCATGTGAAGTTTCAGATTCATTAGTTTGGCGGTTTCTGAGGAGACAAAGTTTACAACTGTTGACATGAGACAAACAGCCCATGAAATAAGCTCATGCAACTTTCAGTCAGGTGAACTAAAAACAATACAACATGTTCCACAATCCCTTTCACATACAAAATGGGGGAAAAGTATTTCTAATGGGAGAAAAAGAATTGTGAAGAAACAGATGTAATAATCCATCAAGTACCGTACCAAGAACCAATCTAAACCCTTTGTTTATGCTTTTAACCATCAACAGAATATTAAACACTCTACAACCGTATGGCTGAAGCCTTTACCTACCCACTGCTTGCACCTGGAACACTGAAGAAAAGAATCACTGAACAACTTGACACAACTGTCCGTGTGTTTACTAAACAGGAAATACAAGAAATATGTGTCCAGAGCGATAAAGTGCAGAGAAATCAAATTAGCATTTCAGCTGTTGAAAATGTTTCTGTCGGGCTGCTGATAATTCCAAACATGTGTCAAATATGTACATTGCCTCACCTCATGCATTTTCTTATCTATTTTAGAATACTTCTAAGAAGGAAAACAGCACTTGATAGTTTTGATCAATGCTTATCAAATAAAGCCGTCTCTAGGTGAGAACAATACTGCCATTCACAGAAGTCTTCCTGTTATTTCTGACAAATTAGAACTCTCATACAGAAGATGAAGTCTGCTCCTAGATAGAGAACTCTGGAGTACACAATGAAGGAATTAGATCTTCTAATGATATGGGGATCAATATCATATCCCTCACTATACTTACAAGACTGGTCGGCAAATCGTTTTGTCATCACTCGACATTGATAAACTGAGGCAAAACATAATTTGACAGGCACTTTGTTCGTTAAAAACTATCCATTTACTCAAGGGAGGTGATAAGGAAATTATCAATCCATTTACAGTTAATGATGTGTTCTCAATTGAGATAAAGTGGCAAATTTCCTTTTGAGATAACTACAATTCATGATTCCGAAAAGGCTTGATAGTTTCTGGAGTTTCAAACAAAATGAATAAAATATCAACAAAAAATTGTGTTGCTGACATTTTGAATGACCAAAAAGAAAAACCTGCATTTATAATTTTACTGACTTTGCCAATGCTGTCTACTTGCCGCTTTATAGAACATAGAGACAACATGCCAAACAAGCCAGCAAGGCGCTGTTCAATATGAGCAGTACACACCACAGTCAGTATATTGCAGGTATATCATGGACACCTGTCAATAGTCAAAGAAGGAGTACACTGGAGGCAGCCGTAACATGATTTACAACCTACACATGAAGGCAGCTGTACCAAGACACACAACCTACACATGAAGGCAGCTGTACACCTACACATAAAGACAGCTGTATCAAGATGTACACCTACACATGAAGGCAGCTGTACACCTACACATGAAGGCAGCTGTACACCTACACATGAAGGCAGCTGTATCAAGATGTACACCTACACATGAAGGCAGCTGTATCAAGATGTACAAATACACATGAAGGCAGCTGTACACCTACACATGAAGGCAGCTGTACACCTACACATGAAGGCAGCTGTATCAAGATGTACACCTACACATGAAGGCAGCTGTACACCTACACATGAAGACAGCTGTATCAAGATGTACACCTACACATGAAGGCAGCTGTACACCTACACATGAAGGCAGCTGTACACCTACACATGAAGGCAGCTGTACACCTACACATGAAGACAGCTGTATCAAGATGTACACCTACACATGAAGGCAGCTGTACACATACACATGAAGGCAGCTGTACACCCACACATGAAGGCAGCTGTACCAAGAGATACAACCTACACATGAAGACAGCTGTACCAAGATGTACACCTACACATGAAGGCAGCTGTACCAAGACACACAACCTACACGTGAAGGCAGCTGTGCACCCACATATGAAGGCAGCTGTACCAAGAGATACAACCTACACATGAAGACAGCTGTATCAAGATGTACAACCTACACATGAAGGCAGTTGTAAACCCACATATGAAGGCAGCTGTGCACCCACATATGAAGGCTGCTGTACCAAGAGATACAACCTCCACATGAAGACAGCTGTACCAAGATGTACAACCTACACGTGAAGGCAGCTGTGCATCCACATATGAAGGCAGCTGTACCAAGAGATACAACCTACACATGGAGACAGCTGTATCAAGATGTACAACCTACACATGAAGGCAGCAGTACACCTACATATGAAGGCAGCTGTACCAAGAGATACAACCTACACATGAAGACAGCTGTATCAAGATGTACAACCTACACTTGAAGGCAGCTGTACACCTACATATGAAGGCAGCTGTACCAAGAGATACAACCTACACATGAAGACAGCTGTATCAAGATGTACAACCTACACATGAAGGCAGCTGTACACATACACATGAAGGCAGCTGTACACCTACACATGAAGGCAGCTGTACCAAGACACACAACCTACACATGAAGGCAGCTGTACCGAGATGTACAACCTACACATGAAGGCAGCTGTACCAGGACACACAACCTACACATGAAGACAGCTGTACAGAGATGTACAACCTACACATGAAGGCAGCTGTACCAAGACACACAACCTACACATGAAGGCAGCTGTACCGAGATGTACAACCTACACATGAAGGCAGCTGTACCAAGACACACAACCTACACATGAAGGCAGCTGTACCGAGATGTACAACCTTCACATGAAGGCAGCTGTACCAAGACACACAACCTACACATGAAGGCAGCTGTACCGAGATGTACAACCTACACATGAAGGCAGCTGTACCAAGACACACAACCTACACATGAAGGCAGCTGTACCGAGATGTACAACCTACACATGAAGGCAGCTGTACCAAGACACACAACCTACACATGAAGGCAGCTGTACCGAGATGTACAACCTACACATGAAGGCAGCTGTACCGAGATGTACAACCTACACATGAAGGCAGCTGTACCAGGACACACAACCTACACATGAAGGCAGCTGTACAGAGATGTACAACCTACACATGAAGGCAGCTGTACCGAGATGTACAACCTACACATGAAGGCAGCTGTACCAAGACACACAACCTACACATGAAGGCAGCTGTACCGAGATGTACAACCTACACATGAAGACAGCTGTACCAAGACACACAACCTACACATGAAGGCAGCTGTACCGAGATGTACAACCTACACATGAAGGCAGCTGTACCGAGATGTACAACCTACACATGAAGGCAGCTGTACCGAGATGTACAACCTACACATGAAGGCAGCTGTACCAAGACACACAACCCACACATGAAGGCAGCTGTACCGAGATGTACAACCTACACATGAAGGCAGCTGTACCAAGACACACAACCTACACATGAAGGCAGCTGTACCGAGATGTACAACCTACACATGAAGGCAGCTGTACCGAGATGTACAACCTACACATGAAGGCAGCTGTACCGAGATGTACAACCTACACATGATGGCAGCTGTACCAAGACACACAACCTACACATGAAGGCAGCTGTACAGAGATGTACAACCTACACATGAAGGCAGCTGTACCAGGACACACAACCTACACATGAAGACAGCTGTACCGAGATGTACAACCTACACATGATGGCAGCTGTACCAGGACACACAACCTACACATGAAGACAACTGTACCGAGATTTACAACCTACACATGAAGGCAGCTGTACCAAGACACACAACCTACACATGAAGACAGCTGTACCAAGACACACAACCTACACATGAAGGCAGCTGTACCGAGATGTACAACCTACACATGAAGGCAGCTGTACCAAGATACACAACCTACACATGAAGACAGCTGTACCCAAGACACACAACCTACACATGAAGACAGCTGTACCCAAGACACACAACCTACACATGAAGGCAGCTGTAGCAAGATGTAAAGCCCTAAATAAGCAGCAACTCAAGTGGCAAATTGTAAGTTTTGGTATTTAAGTTACGCATGGAAATGCATTTTTTATTAAATCCTATCAATCTACAAAACCACAGATCCTCATGCAGCATAATCCAGAAAAATCAGTCTCAATTTCATATCTTCAAAATGGATTAGGCCAAAAAGATATTGACATTCATAGAGGCAATTTGGAACAGACAGCATTAATATCTATCCTGATTGATATGGTGGGTTTTTACACAATGAGAAGGAATTGCTGTATTGAATGATATGAACACTTTTATTAAACACAAATGAAAAAGCTGGTGAAATAATTACAAAAACTGATCTATTTATCTGGGGTTATGGAACACAGATTCACGCAGCTTGATTTTCTCACAGAATCCATGTCACTGGGTTCAATCTAAATGTGATATCAAGTGTTCCCCAAACCATAGTTCAACTTTTAAAACAGCAAAAAAGTCCCTTCCAATTCCATTGCAAGTAAGCATGGTCAATTCCAACTTGTCAAATTCAATTACGCAAGACGCGGCGATATAGGGATGTAAAGAACCTAAACATGATAAAAATTGGCTGAGAAAAGTTAGTTTTGTAATTTGTGATAACAACTGCTAATCCCTGGAGAACTGATCAGCAGCGGTACCTCTGACACGCTCCATCCACAGAGAACTAAAAGCATAACCTTTATTTAACAACAACAATACTTAAATGTAAAAGAGACATTAACTTACATGCGAAGTGAGAGTATCACACTTCACATATGGTTCATGTGTTTCTGAAGTTCTGAACACACAAAAACACAAAAATAACTAATTCTGAATACATTCAAGCCAAGGCCGAACAGTGCAGCCGAATACTGTCTGGCTCACACAAACCAGTGGAGGAGAGTCAGCAACCATCATACATAAGAGTACTCTGTCACACCAAGTGATGAGCCCATTCCTCAGTACATGGGGGGCGGTCGAGTAGTGGTTAAAGTGTTTGCTCTTCACGCCAAAGACCCAAGTTCGATTCCCGACATGGGTACGATGTGTGAAGTCAATTTCTGGTGTCCCCCGCCAGGATGTTGCTGGAATGTTGCTAAAGCGGCGTAAAACTATACTCACTCTCACTGACTCACTCAATGGTTCAGTACATGGACTGACAGGTACACTCAGTACATTGTGTGGCAAGTCATAGGAGTAAAGTCTGCAGAAAACAACCTCTTCCAACTGTAAGGATGTCCCATGTTTGTAATAGAAAAAACCTACATGATCCTGCATGGTTTCTACGTCTGCATCACTCAGAACATTAGTACGCAATGACTTTTTTTAATGTTTCATAATTGACTTTTTCACATTGACAAGACAAAATGCAACCCCCAGCTTAAACGTACTTGTTTATGTGAAGCTAAACTCTACATAATTGCTGAGCTGAGGCTCCGGTAAGCTATTTACCGCCAGCACCAAGACACTCTGCACACCTAAATAACAGACATGTTGAGGTTAAACTGTAATTCCTACTCCATTTCCAACCTTGTCTGCCTCTTCTTTACAATTCATGAAAACAACACCAGGAAGTTTATTTCAGTTCACTACTCAAATGAAGGGAACCGGTTGTATATCTATTACACGTAATACCACAAATAATCTTCAAAAAAGCAAGTTCACCATTGCATAGGAAGTTGAAAAAAGACAAGCTTTAATTACTAATCCTGATGTATTTCATCTAAAACTTGTTTATGTCTGGAAAGTTTGACCTATGAAATAATACAAAGCGTACTTGTTCCATCCAAGACGATCTCTATGGAATCGGTGCCCTTGTCATTGGTGGCTTTACACATGTAGCGTCCGTAGTCGCCTTTCGCCACCGCCTTCACCTGGAGTGTGTTGGTGTAGTCAACGTCACCAGACTTGGATTTTGACACAGAGTACTTTGACTTGGATGTGTCAATAGCTTGACCATTCTGAAAACAAGCAGTTGAAAATAAGACCTACATGAAAGCTCTTTATAATACACACGTCACATGACTTGCATAAGCAACTTATAATTAAAACAGCTGTAGCAAATTTCCAAAACATGAATCATATTCAATGGCTGTCCTAGCAAGTTGGATACAAGTCATTAAAACACTAGCCATGATATTCAAACAATAAAAATTATTCTACTTTATCAAGTATATTTATTTTCAATATATCAATGTTGCAGGTACATATTACTCAAATCATAAAGCGCCAAAGTCTCTATTCACACATTGTAGTAATGGCAACATCTAGGCCTACACTGGAAATTAGCAGTGGACTGTAGCGCATCGCTAACCTTCCCTTAAACAAATCTAACTTGTTAAAATACTATAACAGACAAAAGCTATATGAAATACTGAGTGGCTGTGTATGTGATTGATTCTCTTCTAAACGTGTGTAGGCCCTGAACTGCCAGTGCTATATGTCCGTAGTTGTGACATAGGTGCGTTAACTATTGCAGTGCTGTCCTGCCCACTACCTTGAACCATGTGAATGTGATGCTGGGGGCCCCAGATGCCTTGCAGATCAGCTTCCCCGTCGACTTCTCCTCACTGGCTGCCTTGGAGTATTGGGGGGACTTATCTATGACCGGTGCATCTGGAATAAACACACCCAAGTCATGGTCTTCTCACACTGCCTGCAAACATTCCTGCCTGGGCTTTCCTAAGCTCACCCAAACATGCCTTTTTGTCAATTTTGATTTCAATTTGAAACATACTCTCAAATGTATTGAACCATAAGATGCTTTAGCTCTCAATGCCAATAATGTGTTTCTGATGAATATTTTTGTCAACAAAAAATCCTATCTTTGTCAGCCAGCTTGCTTCCAGAGATGCAGCCTTAAGTTATTTCCTGAAATTGTTAGACCTTTTCTCATTCTTATCAGAGTGGAAGTGTTCAGAACTGAAACAGGGTAGTGTGTAAATATAATACAAGACAATGTCACTCACCAAGAAGCAAACAATGTGAAATGACTTTGTAATTGGTAACTCAGCATCTCCAAGCTTTATGAAGTATAAAGGTACAGAGGAGGCTATACCTTAGTTGTTCTGGACACAAGTGAGTGAACATTGTTCACCACATCGCAGTCATCTCACAGCAGCCTTGAGTATTCAAGTCTGGTCCAGGGACCATGACGACACCTAATCAGCAGTGCCCCACGTCATGACCACCAGACCCAATACAACAAGCCTGGTGTCCTGGGGACCTATTGTGACCTGGAACACCCATGGTCTTACAGAGAACAAGCAGCAAATACTCACATCCCCCGCCAATATGACATGTCCGGTTGTGTGCAATGCATTAGCCCCTGTGAACTATGTTCACTGGGCCTTTTTGTAAATGGCCTAACTGTATTTGTAATGAGTAAGGATGAGACATATGGACGAACAACTTCCTTATTACAATTAGGAGCGATGGTTTCGGTGTAGGTTCAAACATCGTCAAGCAAGTGAAGTACAGAGCATGGTTGACAAGAATATATACAGAATAGGAGGCAGTGTTTAAACAGTTGAGTAGGTTTAAGATCAGTTACACTGTTCTATTTGTAATGAGTTGTGTTTCTGCATGAAGTTAGTCAGTAAATTCAACAACTGTGTCCATGACACTTTTAGAGGAACGTACACAAAAGCAATGCAGAACTTACCAACAAGAAAGGAAATGTATTCAATACTGCGAGATGACATTATGTGCCAAGTTTGGTGAAGAAATATGGTACGGTTTTCAAGATCTGCTCCGGAAAAGAGGACTACCGCCATTTTCAGTCTAAGTCAAAGTCGTTGCCATGGAAACTCGAAAAAAAAAAAAATTTAAATCCCAAACTATCAAAAGGCACCAGTTCACCACTAGACCTATCTATGTGCCATGTTTGGTGAAGAAATATGGTACGGTGTTCAAGATCTGCTCCAGAAACGAGGACTACCGCCATTTTCAGTCTAAGTCAAAGTTGTTGCCATGGAAACTCGAAAATTATTTTTTTTAAAAGTCCCAAACTATCAAAAGGCACCAGTTCACCACTAGACCTATCTATGTGTCAAGTTTGTTGAAGAAATATGGTACGGTTTTCAAGATCTGCTCTGGAAACGAAATTTGACGGACGGACGGCACCCATTCCTATACCCCCCTTCCACTTCGTGGTGGGGGATAATAAAGCAACAACCATGTTTGAATGTACTCACACTTGACAATCAGTTTAGCCTTCTTGGTGTCAGTTTTGCCGATCTTGTTGTCTGCAGTGCATACAAAATCACCCGTATCCGTTCGGGACAACTCATGGACGGTCAAATGTGCTTTGCCTTTCTCATACGTCTGCCTTGTCTTGGACATGTCGTAGTTGGCGCGGGACCAGGTGACCATGTTGGCAGTGATGGGGTTGGCGTCGCCAATACATTCAAAGAATGCCACACCTCCTTCGTCCTCCATCACTTGCCCTGAGATCTTCTTTATAGTGGCTGGGTCTAGAGTTAAACAAATCACTCTCATAAAGACATATACTTCTCAACATATCATATGCTAATTGCCACACATTCAACACTCCTTATACTGAAAGCACCGGTTGAGTGACTGATGACACACACAATGAGGCCTCATTCTGCACTGTCTGACATCAAGGCATAAATAACGTGTTCTCAACTGCAATACTCCATCAGGTAGAGCATCCAGTACACAGAGAGATTATTGAGCTCCACTGTGTATTGGTAGGACACCACTAACAGATGAGGACTAAACTCCCACGCCATGTACGCTATCATGTACGTTCTACAAAAGCCCTTGGCCACTGTCTGACTCAGGGATATATTACAGGTTTGTAAGGAAGACACTGGTGAGACTCATATGTTAGAATATCTCCGTAGCAGCAACTTAACCCTACTACCTGTAATTACAGTGTTGCATATATATATATATATGTCATGATGAACCCTAGCCATGTTCACAGAACTTTGAATGTATACTATTCTAGGATGAAATACACAGATTATCTGCCCTATCTTCTACATACATCGGACATCAATGGAGAAGTTGTGGGTTGTGAAGCCTTCAGCATTAGAAGCCTTCATGGTGAAGTCCCCTCTGTCACCACGGCGGATCTTGGTGATTCTGAGGATGCCGCTGGCCAGGTTAAAGCGGGGGATGTCACTGGGCAGGGACAGCTGCACATCCCCCCGGTACAGCCTGTACGTCACCTCCGGGGGGTTGGAGTAGGCGGAGAAGTTCAGTGACACACTGTTTCCTTCTATCAAATCCACCTTCTCTGGGACACCCGTACTGTTAAACTCAGGTGCAACTGAAATAAAGCCAACACAATCATGAACCTGATATGAAAGGCAAACATGAGACCATGTTAAACATTTCTTCATGCAAATTTCAATCATTTCTGTCACAGACTGAATTATAACATCTATCACCACACCTTGTTTCTGTTATTTAATTCTATGTATTTTATTTAATAGACAGGTCTGATAATTCTATATCAGCTAACGCACAGAGATAATGAGATCAAACTTTTTACACTGACCCTGCCATACTTGTCTCTTGATCGGTTTCACCACACTTAGATTTCCCTGGTAAATTTGAAATTTTGGTGCACAATTCTTGCTTGAAGCAGTACAAGCATATTCTAAATGAGACCCTCCTGACCAACACAAACAAATCACATGTCAATGTAATGATGAAGGTTCTTCACATTTGTGGATCGAGTGAACTTACACAAAATAGGAATGTTTTCTTCCATTTTCATCAAGGTAAATCTGTCATTTGCCTCATGAGACCAGATGATGAGAAAAACATAATTCTCATTCTTATTTTCTGATTAGCTTTTAATTTCAAAATAATGCATAGACCTACTGTCAATTCCAATAGCAGTATAATGCGTAATGTGTCGGTAACCAGACCCAGCGTGGCATTATCTACTTACACAAAACATTAAGTGTCAGAGCATCAGTCACGGCTTGCCCAAATATTCTGTTTGCGGCCTGGCAACCAAAATAAGCATTGTGATCTGCTGATGTTGGCATAAACTCGAGGACGTTTGTGGTAGATCTGCCATCATTCTCTGCCTCCACCTCGCCTCTGTCAATGCCCTGGACCCGGCGTCGGTCCGCTCCCTTGATCCAGGTGATGTCAGCCGCTGGGTTGGAGGACGCTGACACGCATGTGATGTTCATCAACTGTCCTGCTTTAGGTTTGGCCGGCCATGTTGTGATTCTCACAGATGCTGGGGGGACTGACAGTGAGGGAAATAACAGTAAACATAATTTGAAAGAGGTCATGTTGTTATGGCAACAGATAAAAAATGAAGGCAAGCTTACAAAGCTACAACGTTGTTCACTGATCTAGTCTTGAACACATCAATTGAGAGTATATTTATTACTGAGTCTGAATTTAGCAATAAAATATATCACAAATTGTTTCCATACATGTCCCATACAAGATATTAAACTCACCATAACAGCACATTTAAATAATTGTTCAAAATATTGGCCATCATGACATATAATTATAAGTTATATATTTTTAACACCTACCAACCCATATCTTTACACAAAAGACCGAAAAAGATTGAAAGTGCTCTTTTTTTCCCCCACCGTTACAAAATGAAAAATCTGTGAACCAACTTATAAATAACAAGAGTCATCAGAAGATGACATATCCCCCCAATCTGGTGCAATTTAGAAATGGGGTTTTGCTACATATACCCCATTCTTGGTTCACTGCCATTTACTTCAATGGTAATGAAATAAAATAATAAAACTGTACAGTATTTTTCAATATCCTAAATAACCAAAAAAAACATCAATTCATCTCAAGACTGATCTGTAAAGCAAGTTTCATCTAGAAATATGTAACGGTTTGGAAGATCTGCTCCAGAAAGGAGCACTACCCTCATTTTCAGTCAAGTCCAACTTGTCATGAAAACATAATTACTTTTTTTTAAAATATCCCAAATCATTAAAAGGCACCACCAGTTCAACACTTGACTGATCTGTATAGCAAGTTTCAACAAGAAATATTTGACGGTTAGGAGTTCTGCTCCGGAAACAGAAAATTGATGAAGGACAGACAGACAGCCAAGCTGCCCACTACATCCCTCGTTTTTTTTAAACAGTAGACATAAAGCCTTACCATGATCACAGATGCGAACGTTTATGTTATAATTTTAAAGCTTTGAGAATTAGTATTTAATAGCATTCTGATATCAAATTCTTATTTGAATAAACAACTACCGGTATATAGATTTCCATCCATGGCATCCAACCTGCATACAACCTGGTTTATATCAGACGCTAATGCATACCAACATAAACAGTTTCCAGTTGCAACTGAAGCATAGTCTATAGTCATATTTCAGACTTAACTTTGTCCTTACGGTAATCTGATTACTTTTGGACAGCGTTAGTTCCGCTGAGAACAGCCCCACCATCAAATCCTTCATCATTGTTTATCTCTCCTGAATCAGCAGGCGGGATATTTTGGTATAATCCCTTCTATGATATGTGTCTCCCTGCACTGCCTACATCAATGGTAGTTGGCAGCATCACCTACACACATCAGTCACACAGAAAGGTGCTGCTGCTGCTGGGTTAAGTGATGTAATATGGCACCCTGCAGCTGGGAAACAATACCTTCCTTGTAACTAATAGAGGAAGTGACACCACAGACAGCAATATTCCAATATTCATGAAGGCATGTAAGTAATATGAGTCTAGGCCAACAGTATAATTACTAGAAGAGGGTAGGCTATTTCTGTGGTCATCCCCCTGTGTTGGTGATGTCCGGCGTGAGGAAAGCCCGGCATGGAGTGCCCGATCCTCCCTGTAGACCTGCAGTTGGCATACACAAACCCTGCATAGGCCGAGCCTTCTGAGTTGGTGACACATTGCAAGAATGGGAGCTAATGGGAGCATCCAGTGTGTGTGAGGGAACCAGGCATAATGTTTACTCTAATCAACACAGAATAAATTCCTCGAAGTGCTCACTAAATTGGTTACGAAAACTAACAAGATTTTTTATTGGTGAAATTCTTTTTTTTTCAACTGATTTTCCAAATGGCTTCTGGACCATTGTCTTTTGTTGGTATGCACTGTTACTGAACAAGACACAGCATTAATTGTGAACTGACCTGTAACAAATAGCATCTGACAGTTATATATTGTCATATTGACAAGGTTTAGATCTAGATATTGGCACTTCATAAAGCTCCTTCACAGAAGACTAGTTTCCTGGGACTGGCAGTCCTTCTGAATAACTCTTGGAGACACTGGACTACTTAGAAACTTGCAAAACTTATCAGGTTTATTTTAGGGTCGTTGAAACAATCCTTATAATTACTGTTAGTTGTCCTATTGTAGATATTGAAATGTGTGAGGTAAGAGTTTGTGTCATCCCAGCAGTGCATAGTTTCAATGTCGAAATTTGACCAAATTTTTAGGACTGCCTTCGTGGTCTAGTGGTAGAGCGTCTGCCCGGGTTCGATCCCAAAAGACATTAAAAGATGGTACTTGTTGTTACCCTGTCTGGCACTTGGCATAAAGGGGCTAAAACAAGGACTGGTCGGCTCAGAGTCAGTATACTGTGTCTGAGTGGGGTATTCATGTTAAACTGCAGCATGGTATCTCAGTGAGCTAGCACTATAAATCGGCATTAGTACAAGCAGCATGTACGTCTCTATATAAGTACAATAATCTTGGACGCGTCGTTGAACCCAATATCACCTCCCCTCACCTCACCAAATGTTTGGCTACCTTTCACTTCATGTCTCATACTGAGATACCTTACACAGACATGTCATAGACCTTAATCAATGTCATATTAAAAATCAACTGATCTTATTTCAACTAAAGATCTAAGCAATTTGAGAAGTCTGAAAATGTGGACTGTTTAAAAAACCTGAAGAATTCTGACCTTGGCCACTATGTTGCCAAGGTCACTTGCAGGACATATCATAGCCAGACGTTAGTATCAGTACCGATATATCGCCAATGTGAGATTGCTATACTGACCATCAGCAGGGCATTGTGAAGTTTTTATGTTTAGAAATTTTCAAGTGTATTAGAAGAACTAACAGTCTTAGAATGGTGACCAGCACAAGCATATATTGAAAACTAAATGAGTTCCAGTCAATATTATTACAGTTATTTAACAAGTGAAAACATGTGCAATATCCTGTAACAACAGCAAGCCTTGATTGCTAATTACAACATCAAAAGTGAACATAATGAAAGTCTGTGATAAAGGTGAAGCGAATCAAAAGGCAAACGTAAAAGGTGGACACGAGTGTGTTCAGCATGAAATAATTAGATTTTGACTATATCCAAAGCTTCCTCGTGCCATCTGCAATTTCAAAGAATTTATTTCCCTGTACATGCATATTACAGACCCCACTCTCAGGTCGATATTGTTGTTGTTTAGATTTACACAAACAAATAATCGAGCTGATTGAGGTTGATTGAGCAACGAAACAGAACCATTGCTCAGCACATGCGGAATGAGTGAAATGGCAAAACCATTTAGGGTTCATAGAATACGCCAGGTATATTTACTGTGGCATTGTGATATGGTTGACAGATAGATGCACCGTTGTGGCTCGTTGTTTGGAGTGTGCTTGTAATCACGTCACCGGTGAGTGATATTATCTGCCTCTTTGACCGCCATCATATAGTGGGAATATTGGTAAGTGTGGTGTTAAACAACAAACAAACTAACCAGCCTCTATGTGTACATGGTCAGATCGTGATCTCTGTGGTGAGCGGCCATTTTCCATGTGGTCGGCGTGAGTCCACAATTGTGTATGCGTGGCATTATATGTTAATAAACTCATGTGTGCATAGATTTTCTTGGTGTATTTTATTTCATAATTAGTTCCTTTAAGTATCTTGCAGATTTGAATAAAACCACTGCCTCTGTCTGGTCATAAAACTGAGAGCGTAAGCTCTGGTTTAATCAGCGAAAGTAGAAGGCTTACAATATGACGACTAGTCAGCAGAAAGAGGACAGGAATAGCGTCTAGGAGGATTCCATATTTACAAGTTATGTGTAATGGTTTTTAAAAAATTAAGTTTTGCCGAGACTAATCAGTGGGTATTATCATTCCTCCTCATAAACAAGGTAATGTTAAGGATACTAACAACTACAGAGACATCACGTCATTAAGCATACTTAGATCAATTTTCCTGAAATTCTGAAAGCAAGTTACATGTTAGTCAAGGGTAAGTCCTTTCCTCTTTACTTTCTATATTTATTAACTGGCAAAATAAATAGAAACTATGTGTAAAGGCGCAGATGGTTACATCCAGATACTGTTGGGAAACTTTGGCTATTATTTGCTGATGATGTGGTAATGATTTCTAGTGTTATACCTGTGCTATCTCCCAAATGTCATTATTTTATTATGTTTAAAACAAAGTTCAGAAACAAAGAAAATCTTTTGTAGTATACAATTACATTTTGCTATCTAACTTGCATGAAACCAATGGCAGGAGCCTTCAGGTCAACCATTGAAGATTGTAACAGTTTCAGGTCACAAATAACAAGTAACAACACAATGTTATGTAGTCACTACAACTGTTTCTACTGTACTCAACAACTCTCCAGCGCGGGCACTGAACGTGGTTATTAACTCATGTGTCCAGATAAACGTTGTGTCTGTGTATTAATGGAAGCAAGGGACATTTATGACACTAATTTCATCCTCACATTAATTTTATGATGTAAAGTAATTAGGAAAAGTAATGATTGCCCGGTTTGTATTAAAGTACTGGAATTTGGACTAACGCACCAGCAGTGGGGTCTGGTATCACCTTGTCCACGTGGTGCTGTTTAGATTTTGCTGAAAGCAACTGCAATCCATGCAATGTAAATACCACTAGTTTGGAAGATAACTTACACAGGACCGTCAGATTGACGTAGGTTGCAAGGGGTGATGAGGTAGCTTCATTCTCTGCGGTACACTTGTACGTGGCTCCGTTGTCACTCGGTGTGGCCACCACCTGTATCACAGCTCGGGCTAAATTGCCACGCTTTGTGTTCTCGGAAGATATTTTCCTCGATCCTGAAATCATGCAAAAGGTGAAAAATGATTACGACAACTTGACAGGATGAGTATTGTCACCAATCACAGACTCTTTCACTCAGTCCCTCATTTTTCTTCCCATGAAATGCCATAACATCATTTACAGTTCAATATATAAAGGACACAGGATTGTAAGCATGTCAATATCAATTCATCTTCATGATCCATGTTTCACATAATACTTTATCCTAGCATTCACCTTAGAAAGACAACATGCTGGGTAGTAAAGCTGTCTACTTCAAGTCATATTTCTAATCATTTAAATGTGAAGGATAATTCTTTTTCTAAAGTTCTAATCAAGCAACATCACCAAAACTTCTTGATGGAAAAGTTTAAAAACTTCAAATGACACATGCAAGAGGGCAAAGTGTGTGAGATATTTTAATCATCTTTAACTGACAAGGCTGTAATATGAAATGAAAATGCTGCTAAATCCAAAATGATGAGATTTTTTTAAAGGTTTTAGCAGATTACGCAGACTGTTGGAAATACCATTTTCTACTACTCATAATTCAAAATTGACAAGAAAATCTGATGCGATTTTTACAATATTCTTATTTGTCTCTGATAGTCACTACATAATTGTACGATGAGTAACGCTGAAATGAAGCTCACAGGTAAAATACAATATGGTGAAAAATATAGTACTGATAATGCCCGCATATTTCATCAAAAATATTGCTTTTCCGTTAGTCCCATCAGTCTATTTGATGTTACCGAATCCTGCCATAGATATGCCGATCTCATAGTTGAGCCGAGGTATTAACTTGGGTCCTTGAAATCTGCATCCAAATGTTAAGTGATCTACATACGCCGGACCACCAACCTAAAACTATGTCTTTTCGTCATTGGAAATAGAATATTAACAAATCCATACTGAATTACACAAGTTATCCTGTTGTTATACTATCTGGTGATAAAAAGTGTTCATTGTATTTCTGGACTTATGTTTGTAATCTATGTTATTAATCTTATTCAAACTTTCATTTAATATTGTTCACATTAATTTCGGCGAAATCGTTTGTCCCTCAGATTCTTACAACTTCTGTTTACCCCCGTTCAATAAGGTGTGCTTTACCACATACCATGACAGCACAAACTCACACTATTCACAGCAACTACCAACATATTACCACTACTGATGCCTTGAAACGAACCTTAGTTGACAAACAATGAATAGATATCACAACTGCTTTACTTTTACTTGAAGAAATCATAATATATTATTCATTTTAAAATAGTGGTTAAGGATACTTTTTTCCCCTAGCATTGCATAAAATTCATTTTCTGTTATAGTATTGTGTATTTTTTAACTTAATCACCTGTAGATTAGGAGAAAACGTGTGAACAGTTGATTCAATTTCCAGCTCAGACAAATACACATGGTAATCTTAATTCCCGCATCCAAAATAATGCCTACCATAACAAAAAATACAATTGAAATGGTGAATCATCATGTCTATTTATGTTTAATCGCAAATGTCACAATTTCATTGACAAAGTTTGTTATCCCGTTGCTCGTTTACCTGAAGTGATACAATGTAGTTTTTTAACCAACAGAAAGATAGGTTGATGAAAGTGTAACTTTTACATCTACAATCATATATGGTAACTAATTCTTCATATGGGCCTTTATTCAATTAAGATTATTTGCTCACTGATATTATGTTCTCATTTAATCAGTTTCCCCCCTTTTAAAACTTGAAACAAAACTAAATCCCAGTTGATCTTGGGGAAATCCTCTTCAAGCTGTTAGATTCTAGGAACTGCTGTGTCCTCCAGTCACCCTACCTCCATACTGGGGATGTCTGACGGATGACATCTCCCAGGTACACAGACTCACCTTTGTACCACTTGAGCTTAGCTACAGGGTTCCCTCCCGAGGACTGGCATGTGATGCGGGCCAGCTCTCCGGCCTTGATTGCATTGCCCTCTGTGTATCCCGAGATGCTGGGCTTATTGGGGGGATCTGAAGCAGGCAGTGCACAGTGTCGTCAACTGACGGCCCTTTCAACTGAGGCAATGGAGGAGGCATATATATATAGGAATATCTGCTTTGACTGGAGGTCAATTCCATAGAGCTTTTGTGAAATCTTTTTAACTAAAAGCCCTCCAACTTTTCACCGACTGAAGTACCTTGAAATAAAAGTTTAGCCATATCTACTGACAATTCAGCCACATCGGACAATTCGTCCATATATACTGACGATTCTTCCATATCTTCTGAAAATTTGTCCATATCTACTGATGATTCGGCCATATCTACTGATGATTCGGCCATATCTACTGACAATTTATCCACATCTGACAATTTGTCCATATTTACTGATGATTCCGCCATATCTACTGACAATTTGTCCATATCTACTGACATTTCGGCCACATCTGACAATTCGTCCATATCTACTGATGATTCGTCCATTTCATTCATATCTACTGATGATTCGTCCATATCCCCTGACAATTTGCCCATATCTACTGTCGATTCAGCCACATCTGACAATTCATCCATATCTACTGACGCTTCATCCATTTCATTCACATATACTGATAATTCGGCCAAGTCTACTGACAATTTGTCCATATCTGCTGACAATTCATCCATGCCTACAGACGATTTGGCCATATCAATTGACAATTTATCCATGTCTACTGACAATTTGTCCATGTCTACTGACAATTCGGCCATGTCTACTGACAATTTGTCTATGTCAACTGACAATTCAGCCATATCAACTGATGATACGGCCATATCTACTGACAACTTGGCCATATCTACTGACAATTCAGCCATATCTGACAATTTGTCCATATCTGCTGATGATTCATCCATTTAGGAGGTCAATTCCATAGAGCTTTTGTGAAATCTTTTTAACTAAAAGCCCTCCAACTTTTCTACTTTTCTACTGACAATTTGTCCATATCTGCTGACAATTCATCCATGCCTACAGACGATTTGGCCATATCAATTGACAATTTATCCATGTCTACTGACAATTTGTCCATGTCTACTGACAATTCGGCCATGTCTACTGACAATTTGTCTATGTCAACTGACAATATCAGCCATATCAACTGATGATACGGCCATATCTACTGACAACTTGGCCATATCTACTGACAATTCAGCCATATCTGACAATTTGTCCATATCTACTGATGATTCATCCATTTAGTCCATATCTGCTGATAATTCTGCCAAGTCTAATGACAATTTGTCCATAACTAATGACAATTTGTCCATGTCTACAGACAATTTGGCCATATGTTCTGACAATTCATCTATGTCTACAGACAATTTGTCCATATCAACTGACAATTAGGCCATATCTACTGACAATTTGTCCATGTTCATTGAACAATTAAGCCATATCAACTGACAATTTGGCCATATCTACTGACAATTTGACCATGTCTACTGACAATTTGGCTTGTCTACTGACAATTTGGTCAATCCACCGACAAATTGGTCAAGGATGGACATGAACAGTAGTATTCTTCTTTTGTTGAAATTCAAAAAAAGTCAACGAAGGTAGTTTTTTATCTGGGGAATACAAATTACTTTTACCCAACAAATACATTTTCCATTGAAAAGCTATTTACTTTTCTGGGCAAGAGTTACATACCATCCATGAATTACCATTACAATCAATAATGTATCATTACATTCAATAACCTATCATTACAATGAATGGATTATCATAAGCTACTTGCAACCTTGGTCCTTCTTGTCATGTTTGGTAGTGTTGTGGTCTTGAAGACAATCTATTTTGATAACTATGGTTAATTTTCTAGCTATTTGGGTAAACAGGTCCTCAAGTGTATTTGTTCTTTGGAAGGTAATCTGATCAGTTGTGTCATAATTTTGTTAGAAAGCTAAGTAACAGATGCTGTTTCAAAAAATGATATTCGATACATAAACATGTTCCATAAACCTGTCTTAATCAAAAGGAAAATACTGACATCTTTTCCCAGATTATTACTGATCAATACGAGGGAAAACATAATCATACGTAGAGACAGTTACAAGTTACATGATGATTACAGGAGGCTTACACAAAACACTAAGGGTGACCGTGTCATCCACACTCTGGCCAAGCGCTGGATTGGTTGCCTGGCATGTATATTTCACGTTGTGATCTTGATGTGACAGCTGGACGGACAACGTTGACTTCGATATATAGCCTCCGTCTGGTGAATCCTCTACCCTGGTATCAGTCTGTGCCAGTTGTCTCCCCCTGGCAAACCATGTGATGACGGCAGCTGGATTGCTGTTGGAAGACACACAGTCCAGCTTGACTGTCTGACCGGCCTTGGCTGGACGGTCACCACCACTTATTGCAACTCGATTTGGGGAGACTGAAACACATAGGATGCAGTGACAAATCATCCAAAAACATTTCAAGATAAACGCATAAAAAAAGGAAGAAGTCTTGGTCATCATGCATTACAAACATACTAGCCTGTGCACACATATATCTGCTTTAAGACAAACGTGGGAAGCCACCAACGACTCAGTAGTGTATGGTAAGTCTGGATGGCCATGTCTTTCTTACAGATTGTTTGACAGAAAAAAAAATTGACACTTACAATGTCCCCTGCTGATCCCTGTGATCCACTGTCCACACAACACTTACAATGTCCCCTGCCGACCCCTGTAATCCACACAACACTTACAATGTCCCCTGCTGACCCCTGTGTTCCACACAACACTTACAATGTCCCCTGCCGACCCCTGTGATCCACACAACACTTACAATGTCCCCTGCCGACCCCTGTGATCCACTGTCCACACAACACTTACAATGTCCCCTGCCGACCCCTGTGATCCACTGTCCACACAACACTTACAATGTCCCCTGCTGACCCCTGTCTACACAACACTTATAATGTCCCCTGCCGACCCCTGTGATCCACTGTCCACACAACACTTACAATGTCCCCTGCCGACCCCTGTGATCCACTGTCCACACAACACTTACAATGTCCCCTGCTGACCCCTGTCTACACAACACTTATAATGTCCCCTGCCGACCCCTGTGATCCACTGTCCACACAACACTTACAATGTCCCCTGCCGACCCCTGTGATCCACTGTCCACACAACACTTACAATGTCCCCTGCGTTCCACTGTCCACACAACACTTACAATGTCCCCTGCTGACCCCTGTGATACACACAACACTTCCAATGTCCCCTGCCGACCCCTCTGATCCACTGTCCACACAACACTTACAATGTCCCCTGCTGACCTGTCTACACAACACTTACAATGTCCCCTGCCGACCCCTGTGATCCACTGTCCACACAACACTTACAATGTCCCCTGCCGACCCCTGTGATCCACTGTCCACACAACACTTACAATGTCCCCTGCTGACCCCTGTGTTCCACTGTCCACACAACACTTCCAATGTCCCCTGCCGACCCCTGTGATCCACTGTCAACACAACACTTACAATGTCCCCTGCCGACCCCTGTGATCCACACAACACTTACAATGTCCCCTGCCGACCCCTGTGATCCACTGTCCACACAACACTTACAATGTCCCCTGCCGACCCCTGTGATCCACTGTCCACACAACACTTACAATGTCCCCTGCCGACCCCTGTGATCCACTGTCCACACAACACTTACAATGTCCCCTGCCTACCCCTGTGATCCACTGTCCACACAACACTTACAATGTCCCTTGCCGACCCCTGTGATCCACTGTCCACACAACACTTACAATGTCCCCTGCTGACCCCTGTCCACACAACACTTACAATGTCCCCTGCCGAGCTCTGTGATCCACTGTCCACACAACACTTACAATGTCCCCTGCCGACCCCTGTGATCAACTGTCCACACAACACTTACAATGTCCCCTGTGATCCACTGTCCACACAACACTTACAATGTCCCCTGCCGACCCCTGTGATCCACTGTCCACACAACACTTACAATGTCCCCTGCTGACCCCTGTGATCCACTGTCCACACAACACTTACAATGTCCCCTGCTGACCCCTGTGATCCACTGTCCACACAACACTTACAATGTCCCCTGCTGACCCCTATGATCCACTGTCCACACAACACTTACAATGTCCCCTGCGATCCACTGTCCACACAACACTTACAATGTCCCCTGCTGACCCGTCCACACAACACTTACAATGTCCCCTGCTGACCCCTGTGATCCACTGTCCACACAACACTTCCAATGTCCCCTGCCGACCCCTGTGTTCCACTGTCCACACAACACTTACATTGTCCCCTGCTGACCCCTGTCCACACAACACTTACAATGTCCCCTGCCGACCCCTGTGATCCACTGTCCACACAACACTTACATTGTCCCCTGCCGACCCCTGTGATCCACTGTCCACACAACACTTACAATGTCCCCTGCCTACCCCTGTGATCCACTGTCCACACAACACTTACAATGTCCCCTGCTGACCCCTGTGATCCACTGTCCCCACAACACTTACAATGTCCCCTGCCTACCCCTGTGATCCACTGTCCACACAACACTTACAATGTCCCCTGCCGACCCCTGTGATCCACTGTCCACACAACACTTACAATGTCCCCTGCCTACCCCTGTGATCCACTGTCCACACAACACTTACAATGTACAATGAGCTTGTACTGGGCAGTGTACGGCCGCTGTGTCACAAGATTGGACACCTCGCATCGATAGATGGCGTCGTTGTCCGAGGAGTTGACTGTGAAGGTATATTCATTGACAGCCTTATCATTGCCACTGACGTAGGAGTAGTCCACCTGCTCATCATTCCGATACCACACGACTGTCCCGATAGGATTACCTCCCCTTGATGTGCAAGTCAACTGCAGAGTGTCGTTTGTCCGCACAATCTGTTGGTCGGTGTATCCTGAAATCTCAGGGGCACCCGGAGGCTCTGTAAAGAAATAGCCAACAATCAGTGGACTTGGGGATATAACTTGAGTTACTTCAAAATCAGCAAACACAATCTTATATATATATGATCTCACCTGCCAGGGATGTGACCCTTACAGACAAGGAGGATGTTTTGTGATGGTTGTCCAGGTACAAGCAAATAAATCTCTAAATGATTAAATTCTCAACACTTTAATTTTGACAAAATAGTTCTTCCAACACATCATTACTCACCACACTGTCAATGGACAGACTTTCAAACTGTGCCCCCTGCCTGTAATGCATCAGTCTGTGTGTGTAATAGTATCATGTCTTTGTCATTTCTACTGAAGGGACTGAGTGAGTAAGTTTAAGTCACATCATCAGTATTTCATCCAAATTATGAATAGCAAAAGTAATACATTAATACTATCATCTACATTAAAAGTCCAGAAAGGAAACCAGAAGTCTGGCCTGGTAGATGTTGACAGTTTACTTTCCAGAGGACTAGAGATGAGATGTCCTGAATCTCATCACAATAGCCTCAACTCATGCATGTCGAAAAACGTTACCTGTAAAATCAACATGTCTTCAACATACCTGAACTGCTTTGATATATTCCTCGAACACAGAAGCGCATTCACAACTGAATTCTTAACTTTCTAATCCGGGGACAGTTTGAAACGCTTTGAAACATACAATACACATCAACACCATGAAGTGTGGTTTGTACCAACCTAAGATACTAATCTGCACTACTGTTGTCAAGGGAGGGCCCGAGATTGCTGTGTTGGTTGCCTGGCAGGTATATATTGCATTGTTTTCATCTCTCCGCTGTGTCAGCCGAATGCGGACGACACTGATGGCTGTTGATCGCTTGTCCCCCGTTGTTGACTGTGTGGAATACTCGACATTATTGGTGACCTTCACCCCATTCCGGTACCAGGATATAGTGGCTGGTGGTCGTCCATTGGCTGCCTTACATGTGAGACTAAGCAGAACCTGGGTCTGTGGAACTTCCACCACAGACCCGTTGGTATAACCTTCGATCTCCGGCATTGCTGGCGGCACTGAAACAGTTAACAATATTTCATCAAATTAATTCATCAAATACCTACAGAGTTATCAAGTATCTATAGCTATCATATACTTATATGAGATAGCTACGCAATAAATCGCCAAGAAAAATGAAGAATGAAGCATGGTTTATTTCACAATAAAACATTGTTCTATCATGGACGTCATTTCTGGAGGTTCAAACATGTACTTACAACTTGATGACATCATATATTGGTGTATAGTGACAGGTTCGCCAAAGATGTGGCTGTGCAACACAGATGAACGCAATGGCCGAACAATGGCATCCAAAAGCAGGGGTATATGACAATTGGTGTTGGGGGGAAAAGGTACAGGTAATCGAAGTGATGATTGTGAGTTTATGCGGGAAATTCCCACCTCTGAATAAAATGGATTTGTCTGACATTACCATTGTCTGATTCTATTGAGGGAGTCATCATTATTTAAACACGGGTAAATATTTTTAAAGCTTGTTCATTTCATTATCATCCTTAAAGAGGCAGTACAAAATGTTGATTTCTCATATAAAAAACTCTCATAATAAAAATGACTCGTCGTCATTGTTTATCGTACAAAAAACACTGCAGGGGGAATAAACCGCTCTGGGCATTTATTTCTTAAATCAAATACCTATAGAGTTATCAAATATCTATAGTTTTCTAATCCCTATTGTTATCAAATACCAACAGTTATCAAACACCTATAGTTATCAAATACCTATCGAGTTATCATACACCTATAGAGTTATCAAATACCTATCGAGTTATCATATACCTATAGAGTTATCAAATACCGTATTCGATGTAATAAGCACCCTGCTCTAATAAGCACCCACAGCGATATTTGCTAATATATTGGCTAGTGAACAATCCCAATTAGCACCCCTTCCGATTGATCAATGTATATTACGCATATGCACCTGTAATTTTAAGCAATTAAATTCTGGGAAACTATATCTGTCGTACATGAACATAGTTATAAAAAAAAAACACATGAAATTTATCTTTCAACTTTCACCAAAATAATATTCTAATAAGAGCCCCCTATTTCTATTTTTGAGAGCGTTGTGAGCATTTATTATGTTGAATACGGTACCTATAAAGTTATCATACACCCATAGAGTTATCCAATACCTATAGAGTAATCATATACCAATGGAGGTATAAAGTACCTAGAGTTATCAAAACCTATCGAGTTATCAAGTACCTAGAGTTATCAAACACCCATAGACTTATCCAGTACTTACTGTTATCAAATAGCCATAGAATTATCACAATGCCACATATTTTGATAAAATAATTTTACAAACTTACATTTACATCTTTAGATAAATATTAATTTGTGTTTAAAGTATAATTGTAAGATGCAGTTGTATAATTGCGAAACAGTACTAATTCTATAGAATAAATCAAGTACACATAATCAGTTTTTCATGTTTATTTCACAATGACACATTTGTTTCAGAGACATCAAAAACCTTGCTTTTGTCAAAAAAAACCCATCAAGATTTATACAACCAACATGACTGACTTGCTTCTCCATTATTCAAACACTGTATTTTACTGGCTTCCAAGGCTCGCCACATCAAAGAGAATTTCTAGACGCCTAAAACAGACTATAACACTTGCTCATAGAGTTCTCCCGGAGAACGAGGGAATCCTCCAGGGAATGAAACATCTTATTAACCCCTGAAAGATTAATGTCGTCACAGTAATTAAGGTCAGCTACACTCAGGGGTGGCACTGCCAACTTCTTTATCATTAGTCAAATAGGGAAGTCTTCTTTCATTGTATATAACCTTTATTCCCTTCATATCAATTTTATCAGACATTCATAAACACAGTGATCAAGATGACTTTTGTTGTGCATAAGGGAATACAGGTACGTGTCATAATGAGGGAATTGTCTGTCTTTGTAGTTCTGTGATGGATTAGGTTCTGTACTTGAATACACTACAACACTGTAACAGACACCTGCTTGCAGTGGCCATCAGCCTGTATACAGCTTTCATCATAAGCCATATGTTATAGCTACACAGTGATACTACATAAGTGAGTGAGTGGGTTGGAGGTGGTGTCCTGAGATATCTACACAGTGATACTACATAAGTGAGTGGGTTGGTGGTGTACTGCGATATCCACACAGTGATACTACATAAGTGAGTGGGTTGGTGGTGTCCTGCGATATCTATGTGGCCGATGTAGTTTTTGTATATATTTGTTTTAATTTCATTTTAGGTTTTTACGTATATTTATCATATATAACTAGTTGTCCGTTTCAGTCAGCTATAACAAAGTGTATCTGACCTGTCTTACCTACTAACTGCCCCATGGCCAGAAGCTTCATCTGCTGATTGGCCAAGCTAACACCTATTGTTAAACTGCATGCTTTGATTACACTGCATACTCTCTCAGCACATAAACTGACAGAACTGCTCAGACCAGCAAAGTGTAAAGAGAGAATATTAAATCAGGTGAGTTAAATGGTTATAATCTCTATCTTGTGTTGTATTTAAATAATACAATATGTTCAAAGTGTTATATGAAGTAAACTAAATGTATGTAATCTAACATAAATGTTGATTTATGTCTAAATATTTAAATCTGCATAGGATAAGCTAAACATCCATACTTTATCACTAAAATGTATTCTATCACTTCAATGAAATATGTGTGAAAGTGTTTTACCTCAAGAGTGTTTTAATAAGCTTTGTAATGTAGAGATTCAGATGTGATACAATGCAAATCATTGTAAAGAAAATGTGTGTATTACTTTGTTCAATATATTAAATGTTAAATAGTGTTTTAGTCTATGTATTGTTTATTCAGATAATCTAGGGTGTTGCTATATAGGCAGTTTGGATCCACACCCTTGTATCACCCACAGGGTATGCATTGTGTTATTTATATTTGTCTAAGACTTACAATGTAATCTAATTGTGATGACCACATTTAATGTAATATCATATCATTAATTTCTGTCTTAAAGTATTGTATATGTTTATGCAGAATGTGTAAGCGTTATGCATTTATATTATGTATATATATTGTGTATATATTATAGTCAAATGAAAGTCAAGGAGTTATCTCCCTTGAATGTCGGTATCGTTGATCATGTACATACTGTATATGTTCTAGTATAATCGTTTAAGGTTCAGTCTATCTTGTGTTTAATGGATGACTAATATATGTAAATAATTACTTGTAATAAGCCTATGCTGTGTATCTAGCATTAATGATAATGTTTTACTTAGTATTTATTGTGTTATTATGTGTTTCAGGGTGTATGATATATAGATCTACATAAGTGAGTGAGTGAGTGGGTTGGTGGTGGTGTTGGTGTCCTGCGATATCTACACAGTGATACTACATAAGTGAGTGGGTTGGTGGTGGTGTCCTGCGATATCTACACAGTGATACTACATAAGTGAGTGGGTTGGTGGTGGTGTTGGTGTCCTGCTATATCTACACAGTGATACTACATAAGTGAGTGGGTTGGTGGTGTCCTGCGATATCTACACAGTGATACTACATAAGTGAGTGAGTGGGTTGGTGGTGGTGTTGGTGTCCTGCGATATCTACACAGTGATACTACATAAGTGAGTGGGTTGGAGGTGGTGTCCTGCGATATCTACACAGTGATACTACATAAGTGAGTGGGTTGGTGGTGGTGTTGGTGTCCTGCGATATCTACACAGTGATACTACATAAGTGAGTGGGTTGGTGGTGTCCTGCGATATCTACACAGTGATACTACATAAGTGAGTGGGTTGGTGGTGGTGTTGGTGTCCTGCGATATCTACACAGTGATACTACATAAGTGAGTGAGTGGGTTAGTGGTGTGAGTGTCCTGCGATATCTACACAGTGATACTACATAAGTGAGTGGGTTGGTGGTGGTGTTGGTGTCCTGCGATATCTACACAGTGATACTACATAAGTGAGTGGGTTGGTGGTGTCCTGCGATATCTACACAGTGATACTACATAAGTGAGTGGGTTGGTGGTGGTGTTGGTGTCCTGCAATATCTACACAGTGATTCTACATAAGTGAGTGGGTTGGTGGTGGTGTTGGTGTCCTGAGATATCTACACAGTGATACTACATAAGTGAGTGGGTTGGTGGTGGTGTTGGTGTCCTGCGATATCTACACAGTGATACTACATAAGTGAGTGGGTTGGTGGTGTCCTGCGATATCTACACAGTGATACTACATAAGTGAGTGGGTTGGTGGTGGTGTTGGTGTCCTGCAATATCTACACAGTGATACTACATAAGTGAGTGGGTTGGTGGTGGTGTTGGTGTCCTGAGATATCTACACAGTGATACTACATGAGTGGGTTGGTGGTGGTGTTGGTGTCCTGCAATATCTACAAAGTGATACTACATAAGTGAGTGGGTTGGTGGTGGTGTTGGTGTCCTGCGATATCTACACAGTGATACTACATGAGTGGGTTGGTGGTGGTGTTGGTGTCCTGAGATATCTACACAGTGATACTACATAAGTGAGTGGGTTGGTGGTGGTGTTGGTGTCCTGCGATATCTACACAGTGATACTACATAAGTGAGTGGGTTGGTGGTGTCCTGCGATATCTACACAGTGATACTACATAAGTGAGTGGGTTGGTGGTGTCCTGCGATATCTACACAGTGATACTACATAAGTGAGTGGGTTGGTGGTGGTGTTGGTGTCCTGCGATATCTACACAGTGATACTACATAAGTGAGTGGGTTGGTGGTGGTGTTGGTGTCCTGAGATATCTACACAGTGAGTCAGTGATACTACATAAGTGAGTGGGTTGGTGGTGTCCTGAGATATCTACACAGTGATACTACATAAGTGAGTGGGTTGGTGGTGGTGGTGTTGGTGTCCTGCGATATCTACACAGTGATACTACATAAGTGAGTGGGTTGGTGGTGTCCTGAGATATCTACACAGTGATACTACATAAGTGAGTGGGTTGGTGGTGGTGTTGGTGTCCTGCGATATCTACAC